GTTGCCCCTCTTCCAGGCCAGCTCTCTGCTGTGGCCCGGGAGTGCAGTGGAGGATGGCCCAAATCTTTGGGCCCTGCACCCGCATGGGAGACCAGGAGAAGCACCTGGCTCCTGGCTTCGGATCAGCACGATGTGCCAGCTGCAGCGGCCATTGGAGGGTGAACCAACGGTAAAGGAAGACTCTCTCTCACTGCCCACTCTGCCTGTCCAAAAAAAAAAAAAAAAAAGAGAGAGAGAAGGGGAGAGATAGAGAGTGAGAGAATCTTCCATCCACTGGTTCATTCCCCAAATAGCCACAAAGGCTGGCGCTGGACTGATCCAAAGCCAGGAGCCAGGAGAGTCTTCCACATGGGTGCAGGGGCCAAGCACTTGGGCCATCTTCTACTGCTTTCCCAGGCCATAGCAGAGAGTTGAATCGGAAGTGGAGCAGGTGCTCCATCGAACCAGCACCCTTATGGGATTCTGTGCGGCAGGCGGAGGCTTAGTCCTCTAAACTATAGTGTCCTACCCCACCTTGTCTTAGGGGATCTCCTTCACTTCTCAAGAGTCCTAACTTCAACCTTCCCTCTCCTCCAGGAGCAACTCAGATGTAGAGAGCAGTTTGAAAAGGCTGTCTTTCTCACTTCATGTCCAACATGGTCTTTTGTGCATCATGGAATGAATTTCAGAGTTTCTTTATCTTCTATCTGTCTGGCTCTGTGTTAGGTATGATTTTGTCTAACACCCTGAACTGCTACCTCTTTTCAGCTAAACAAGTCACTGCAAATTACCTTATTCTGTGTGCTCACTTTTGTACAAGATATATATTTTAAATTCTCATTTTAGAATCTTTGCCATGAATCCCATGTTATGTGATATTAATATATCCACTTATATTTTTTAAAAAATATCTTGCATGTGTATGTATATATATATTTAAATACAAGGTAAACATGACAAAATGTTAAGAAGTATTAAATCTGGCTAGCGCCACAGCTCACTTGGCTAATCCTCCACCTGCGGCGCCAGTACCCCAGGTTGTAGTCCCGGTTGGGGCGCCAGATTCTGCCCTGGTTGCTTTTCTTCCAGTCCAGCTCTCTGCGGTAGCCTGTGAAGGCAGTGGAGGATGGCCCACGTGCTTGGGCTCTGCACCTGCATGGGAGACCAAAAAGAGGCACCTGGCTCCTGGCTTCGGATCGGCGCGGCGCAGTGCACCGGCCGTAGCAGCCATTTGAGGTGAACCAATGGAAGGAAGACCTTTCTCTCTGTCTCTTTCTCACTGTCTAACTCTGCCTGTCAAAATAAAAAGTATTAAATCTGTGTATACTCATTGAGTTATTTATATTTTCTGTATTATCTGAAATACTTTAAAAAGACAGATCAGTTGTGTAGTTCTTATAGCCATTTGTAGTTTTATTAATTAGTTTTTCATGGCTCCAAGATGCTTAAAGACTTAAGAAATAAAGTAAAGTTTATTTAGCTTGAAGTTTTGGATATTCAAGTCCAAGATTAGGCGCATTCATTGCTTTAGCTTCTAGTGAAGGCAGTGAGTGACAGCACATCATGCTATGAGTGCATGTGGGAAGAAAAGATTGTGTCTAATTTTTTTTTTTTAGCTTCACTTATTTGAAAGGCAGAGTGACAGAGAGAGAGAGATCTTTCATCTGCTGGTTCATTCCCTAGATGCCTACAATATCTGGGTCAGTATCAGGCTGAAACCAGGAGCAATGAACTCCACCTGGGTCTTCCATGTGGGTGGCAGGGGCCCAAGTACTTGGAACATCCTCTGCTGCCTTCCCAGGAATGTTAAAAGGGAGATGGATTGGAAGCAGAGTAGCTGGGACTCGAACTTGAACTCTGATAATGGGATGCTAGTTTTCCACAACTCTGGATCCCAAAAAGTCATATCTTGAACTGGAGCAGAGAGAGATTGAGCTGGGCCAAAATAACATTATAACAATCACTCTTGGGAGAACTACCTTACAGGGGCACACTGCCTGTGACCAAAGCCCTCCGACTAGGCTCTACCTGTTTAAATTTCCACAATTTTCCAATAGCACTATACTGTCCTTTGGAGAATATTTAACATTCAAACCATAGCATAGAGTACTTTAAAATGTTTGTGGAAAAAAACAAGTTAAAATATTGTTTTAAACATTTTTTTATTAAAAAAGTAAATATTATGGTTGCAAAAATATTTTGAAATCCCTGCATGAAAATGTTCTTCAAAATATTCATAGAAAAATCATATTATGAAAAAATATGCATGGATTTCAATTTTTCTTTCCACCTAAAAGATTATTTTCACTCTGTTCTTCCATGAAGCGTTTGAAGTACCTTTAGTGCATTCAAGACTGAGGAAATAGCAAGTGCTGAGGGCCCAAGGCAGGAAGACCATGCCAGATGCATTTAAGTAACTGTAAGTAGATGAAGTAGTAGCTGGAGCAGCGAGAGGAAGGCACACAGCTCTGGGATACGAGTCAAGGGAAGTAGTAGTGAAACCAGGTTGTGGAGGATTTTGTAAGCCACTGTTCTTTGTGCCCTGGCTGTTAGTGACCATATCTACTGTGGCAAGACAGGTTTTTACAGAGGGATGCTTCTAACATAGTGTGTAGGATGTTCTTCCTTTGATCTGGTTGCTAAACTTAGAAGCTACATCTGTTTAGTGATAGCTGAATTTCTTGATTACTTATTGCTGATAATATAGTTCAGGTAAAATTTTGCTTTTATATTGGTTAGTGCTCCCACTGGAATGTGAATCCAATATTTACTTGTAACAAATCAACCTCAGTAATACGTTAGTATCTTTTTTTTTTTTTTTTTTTTTTTGACAGGCAGAGTTAGACAGTGAGAGAGAGAGAGAGAGAGAGAGACAGAGAAAGGTCTTCCTTCCATTGGTTCACTCCCGAAATGGCTGCTAAGGCCAGCGCGCTGCGCTAATGCAAAGCCAGGAACCAGGTGCTTCCTCCTGGTCTCCCATGCGGGTACAGGGCCCAAGCACTTGGGCCATCCTCCACTGCCCTCCCAGGCCACAGCAGAGAGCTGGACTGGAAGAGAAGCAACCGGGACAGAATCTGGCGCCCCAACTGGGACTAGAACCCAGGGTGCTGGCGCCGCAGGCAGAAGATTAGCCGAGTGAGTCGCGGCACCAGCCTACATTAGTATCTGTTAGACACCACAGAACACGTAATTGGGAGATTATTTAGAACTATCTTATTTTACTACTAGTAAAATTTTAATGAATTAAAATATATAAAATTTATTCCATTGCATTAAAAATGCTTATTTTGGAAAAAAAAGTGTATTTTTATGAGAGAGAGAGAGGGAAACAGAGAGAGAATGAATGAGAACACAAACACCGCCATCTACTGGTCCACTCCCTAAATGCCTACAATGTCCCTGGGGGTCCAACTTCAGAGACAACTACTCAGTCTAGATCTATCCAACTAGGTGGCAGGGCCCCAACTTCTTAAACCATCACCTGCTGCCTCCTAGCTGCATGTTAGTGGAACTGGCTAATCAAGAGTGGAGCTGGGACTAGAACTCAAGCACTTCAATATAGGATATGGACATCCCAACTTGGAATTTAACCACTAAACCAAACATCCACCCAAATGTTTATTTAACATTTTTAACTTTAAGTGTACAATTTTAGCTACATTAAGTACATTCACATTGCTGTAAAACCATCACCACAGTCTATCTACAGCACTTTGTCTTGCAAAAATGAATCTCTATGTCCATTAAACAATAATTCCCCATTCTTTCCTCCTCCCACTCCATGGTCACCAGCACTCCACTTTCTGACTCTGAATTTGACTACTCTCGGTACTTTATATAAGTGGATCATATAGCATTTGTCCTTTATTTTACTTGACACCATGCCTTTAAGTTTTGACTATGTGGTAGCATGTTTCAGAATTTGCTTCCTCTTTAAGACTGAGTAATGTTCCACTGCATGTTCACCCAGCCCTCCAGATCTGTTAGTTATGCATCCATGGATTTAACCAACTGTGGATTGAAAATATTTGAAAATAAAATTGTGTCTCTACTGAATCATGTATAGTCATTTTTTTCTTGTCATTATTGCCTGAACAATATAACATAAAAATTCCTTGTACTAGTTATTATAAGAAACTAAGGATGATTTAAAATATATGGGAGGATGTGCATAGGTTTTGTGCAAATACTATGTCATTTTATATAAAGGCCTTGAACTCACAGATTTTGGTATCCTCCATGGTCTTAGAACCAATCCCTTGCAAATACCAAGAAATGCTGTATATACCATTTGTACCTTTTTGTTTATCCATTCATTTGTTTTTGGACACTTGAGTAATTTCCTTTTGGCTTTTGTGAATCATGCTCCTATGAATACGTATGTACAAACGTCATTTCAAGACCCTGCTTTAAATTCTCTTGGGCATATATCCAGAAGTGGAATTGCTGATTCATATGATAGTTTTAATTTTTAATTTTTTGAGGAACTGTTGTACTGTTTTCCATAGCAGCTACTCCATTTTACATTCTCTCCAACAGTGCACAGGTTTCCAATTTCTCTACATCCCTGTCAACACTTGTTATTTTCTGATTTTTGATGGTAATCATGTAATGAGTATAATAGGGTGTCATGTTCTTTGTGTTTCCATTTTCCTGATGATTAGTAACATTAAGCATCTTTTCATGTGCTTCTGGGTCATTTATATATCTTCTTTAGAGAAATATCTTTTCAAGTTATTTTCCCATTTTTATATCTTCCTGTTTCTTTGTTATCAAGTTTCAGGAGTTCTCTATATATTCTGGATATTAATTCCTTATTAGATGCGTGATATTTTCCCCTGTGGCTGGGTTGTCTTTTTATTCCATTAATAGTGTTCTTTGATAAACCAGTTTGTCACATTGATGAAGTGCAATTATTCTCGTTCCCTGTGCCTTTGTATCATAAACAGGAAATCATTGACAAATCTAAAATAATGCTTTCCCTCTATGTTTTCTTACAAGAGTTGTATTTATTTTTGTAGGGTTGAACTTTGGAGAGAACCAAGCAAATCCTTGGGCATCAGCATTGTTGGTGGACGAGGGATGGGGAGTCGTCTAAGCAACGGTGAAGTGATGAGGGGCATTTTCATCAAACATGTTCTTGAAGATAGTCCAGCTGGCAAAAATGGAACCTTGAGACCTGGAGACAGAATAGTAGAGGTACCCTCCAGTGAGCTTTCTGTGTCAGAATTCATCTCCTGTTCCTTCCTGTTTACCAAGGGAATTTTCATCTTTGTACATATTACTCGATGTAATTTTAGAGTAAAACATGTTTATGGTTAAAGTATTTCTTTTCATTCATAATTTTCTCTTATGATGACAGATTGTATATCTTGGTGTAGAGAATGATGTTTGCAGATATAACCAACCATTTAAAAAACATTGGCCCCTAATTAAAATAATTATGTTTGGTTTGAATAAACAAAGCAAATTTCCTAGGGAAAATTAAATTGTTTAAAATCACACACACACACACACAAATGTACACATCATCGTTAAGTTCTCCAGTTAGATTTTATTTTAAGAAATTCTTTATCATTACTACTTCACCATAGATAAACTTTGTGGTAGAAGATTTTTTTTTGAAATGAGTCTTTTCTGTTAAATCTTTAATGCTAAGACCTTGATTATGTTTCGTGTAAATGCTTTCCCTCAGTCCACCCAGGTTCTTCCTCCTGCTTCTTAGCACAGTGTCTGTTCACCACCAGAGGCTCTTCATGGTATTCGTGTGCTTACGTACCTGTATGTTTACACATATTTGTATTTTGTTATATGCAAGAGAGAGACATGTGGTCAAATTATACATAATTCCTTAATTCAAAGCAAAATTTAGCATTTTAATTAGACTCTTCTCTTGTGAGTCACTCATTTACTCAGCAGACATTCCTAAACGGCTGTTGCATTCCCAGGGTCATAAGAAAAACTGGGCAGCCTGTGGTAAGCAAGGCTCTACACCTGACTACCAAGTGGGACAGACTTGATGTGAAATCAAATTCTTCAGCTTAGTGTGATGCATTATTTGAACAAAACAAGTATAGTTTTATTTTAAAAGTTAAAGAAAGGTTACCTGACCCGGATTCGACAATTTCCAGATGAAGACAATGTAATTGTAATGATCGTGTAAGTGATTGCCTCATTTTCTAAAGCCATGTAACTTACATATTAAAATATATTAATTATTTAGAAAAAAACTACAGCAACCATGTCTTTACAATGAACAATTTGAGGTTCTTATTTATTCCTTCATTGATTTATTGTCTCTGAGAGCAGAAGGAAAGAAATTGAGAAGAGAAAGCAAATGCCATGTTTCTTTTCTTTTTATGATTGTTTAGGAAGAATGATAGATTTTTAAGGAACAATTTCAGTAGTCCTAAAATTTCCAGTTTTGTATTATCACAAGAAATTTATTTTATGCATACTTTACCTTTGATCCACATAGAAAAAAAATTAAAAATTCACAAGTCTTTCTAAAAAGTATGGGTTGTGGTTTGACCAAAATGCTAAGTACATTTAATAAGCTTAAATATTTCCTTCAAACTGAAAAGAAGGGAGTTTTTGGTGTGTTGTAAAATATTCTATGTAATTTAGCAATGATTTTGTGTATGTTCTATGTGTAGGAGCTTAACCAGGAGAGAAAGCCTTAGGCCCATATCATCCTGGGAATCCTAAAACATGACTCTGCTAAGTTTCTGAAAATGTGTGTTGACTTTGTAAGCAGAGACCTGCAAAGTATTCCATTCTGAGTGTAGAGTACTTTGGACTTTGACAAAGATATTTAACACCCTGATAAATTTTCCCACTAATGGAATAATATATAGTAGACATGCATAGTGACTTTTGTTCTAAAAGTTAGAAGTCGTTTTAGTATGTACTGGAAAATAGGATATCATCAGGAAAACAATATAACAGAGATCTTCACCTAAATAACATATATATGTGTGTGTATATATATATGTATATATATATATATATATAAATCTGTTACAGGTGATAATGTTACATGCAAAGATCTAATAATTAATTTCATTTTTCAGTGTTGTGTCCATTTTGAGATTGTTTTTATTTTGTTGCATATACCATATCATGGTTATTGGAAATTATAACATAATAATTGCATCCTATAATTTTCTGACAGGATTAGCATTTGGCCTTTTAAACTATTTTCCTCCTTGCTCTTAGTTCATATAAAGTACAAGCTGAGTTGATCATCACCCAAGCAAGCCATGGTCAATGAAAAGTTACAAAATAACTCATTTTTCAACTATTTATGCAAGAATTACTAACAAATAAGCACAATTTCTTGGCTTACAGCTCCTTTCATGTCTATTGCAAAGATTCTTTTGCAAAACTAACCTTATCATAGTCTGAATTTTCTGGACATCAGAATTTTGTTTTTAACTTCAAGCTTCCCCAGGAAACAATACGGACAGCATCACCCAACTACTTTTTAAATTACTCAATAATGAATTAGAAGAAAATTAGGACAATGACTTTTACGATGAAAATACTACTGTGGGACAATTCCCTTGTATTTCTTTAATGTTGATTTCTCAAAGGAACAACTGAGGAATGTAAGAGGGGCAGAAATAGTCTTCATTCCAATCTATTATTATTACATTTCATTATTGGAGACAGATATCAATGTTTAAAATAAGGGACTACAGATCTGCTAGACAAATGAGAAGTTCTGCAGCATCACAAAGTAGACTTAGTTATTTTTGACAATGAAACATGTTTTCCAGGAGCCTAACCAAGCATCCTCAAATCTCCAGATCCACAAGTTGTTCTATTGTTCTATAGCTTCTTGAAATGTTAAGCTGAGGCCTTCCATTGCAGGTGGATGGAATGGACCTCAGAGATGCAAGCCATGAACAAGCTGTGGAAGCCATTCGGAAAGCAGGCAACCCTGTAGTCTTTATGGTACAGAGCATTATTAACAGACCAAGGGTAAGCAAACACAAAGGGCAAGGTAGGCATTTCCAAACAGCGCTCAACTTGGAATCTAATGTGTGAAGGACCAAGTTGTCTATATGAACAAAGACAATGATTTTTGAAATCTCAGACTTGGTAGAAGTTTCTTCTGCTTTTTAAAAATTGAATTATCCTGGAAACCCCTTCCGACATGCTTAATAAAGACCTGAAGTCTGTTGAAGACACAGAAGCAAGATATATTGGTGGCCATAGATATCTAGATGATTAATGACCTATATTTGTTCAAGTCAGAACATCCATAAGTTGTTAAAAATAATGTGGTGTGGACATTCAGGTTAATAGTCCAGGATCTCTAGAGGAGTAACTTAGTGTCCAGAAACATGACATTTTCTTTAAATTTATTCTTTAGGCAGAATCTCTTGCTTATGCAATCCATGATCTTTAGTGAACAGTAAATTCCCATGGGGTATATTTTGGTAATTTACAAGTGATTTCCTAACTGCTATTTTCCAACTCTAGTTATTGTATAGCCGTTCATCATTTTATAGCTGTGGTAGACAAAAACCCACTCACCCATTTTACTGTGTAAAAATGGGTGAAATAGATTTAAAATATTCTAGAAATTATAAGCATTTGTAACAAATGCTGTGTTGTATATGCCCTAAAGATGCTGAATTTAAAAATTATGCCAGAGCTTAAAACTGTGCTTTGTGTTACTTCTTTATGCTTCACTGGGCAAAAAAAATTCCCAGTTGCATCAGTTATTAAATATAATTGAATCACCTTCTCATCAAAGTTACTCATTTGCTCACAAGTTTGCATATTATTTCAGCAGTTTTCTAAGTGTCCTAAAGCTCTTAGAAACTCCACTTCTGGATTTAGCAACCACTGTCATACTGAGTCTCTGAAATTACCTGGTGCTAATTGTTCAGATTGGTTGTTTTTGAAAGCAAAAATATTAACATGTGTAAGAGCAGTTAAGGCATCATCTAAAACTTAAAATATGTAATTTAATGTACATTTAATTTTATCTTGCCAAATTGAGAATTCAAGGTTTTAATGCTCAAATGAAGGATGAAGCCAACAACTCTAGATGAGATCAAAGTAGCATCATTATTCTTTGCCATGGAATACAGATCACCCCAATGTATCTTACAGGTCTTTTCCTTTGTTGTCAAGACAGGCACACCTCTGATCTGGGTTCACCACAAGTGAATTTAGCAACTCTTAATGTGAGCAGTTATCTCCACATCTGTAGTTCTGAATCATTCAGTTGTTTGTTGTTAGGTAATAATTATCCATTCAGATAGAAAATCTTCCAAATGGTAGAGCTGCATCGCATTGTATTCTTTACAAATGCTGTTCAGTTTGTTTAAGTAACTACAAATCTTGTTATATTTGTTTCCATTTGTTGTGTTAAACATAGACACAGCATGATAATGTTGGTAAATGCCTGTTTGAGTTAAAGCTACTCTTTTTGTGGGTGGGTGAGTTTTATTCCTTTGTTGTTTTATTTTTAATTTACAACTTTTACATCACTAGGGACAGTTCAAGAAACTGCTGAGTAGTGATTCTCAATATTACTTTAATGTTTAAACTACAAATATTTCTTTATATGTTTATCACATTTTCTTGAGAGCTGGAGAGATTATTTAATACACCTGGATAATATTCCTATTTTTACTATCCAAAGTGTAATGATGCCTCATTTTATGGCAATTATTCCAGGATGCATCTTGCTTAAAATGAAATGTTTAGTCAAGTTAGACTAATTTTTTCATTTAAAATGAAGTATACTTTGTTTCCGGTGATATTTTTCCCTTTGGAAGTAATCATGTCTCCATTAATTTAAAGAAAAAAAAATATGCATACTTAGGAGTCTCTTAGTAGTAAATGATTTATTTCTGGATATAGGATAAAACATACAGAAACTGAAATGCCAGTCCATCTTTTTGGTCCTTTGGGCATTCAAGAATCAGACTTTCCCAGAGTAGACCTGAGATTGACCCAGAATGATGATGCTTTACAGAATTTGGTCTGAATATATTGTCCCCTCAAAAAGTGGACCCCATTAATCCAGGTCAGAGGATGCTTTTGTCTTGTCTGCACTGCTTCTCAGTTAATATTATCTCTGCTTTTGTCAGCCCTTAGGACTAAAAATAGGTATTTCTTCACTGATTTTTTTAATAGAAAATAGTCTGTTTCCATAAATCTTTCCCTAGTAGGAGAGTGACCTACAATTTCATCTGCTATACTCATCCTGTGCTCTTATACTTTGCTTCCAGGGCCAAATTCTAATCCTATAAGATTTTCAAATCAACATAAAATAAAATAAAAAAAGCTAGAGATCTCCTACTGTATTCTATTTCTTGCCATATGATTTTGTTTTCTATTGTGTTACAGAATTATAAAGGACACTGAACCCTAAAAATAGCATGTATAAGAAAAAGCTTAGAAATACTCTCCACCCTCCATAGCATAGACTTATTTGCCTGGGATTTGTTTTTCATCTCTGCCCAGTCATTTCTTCAACCTTAGTGAATGGTCCCATTCCTTGGCATTTGTAATCTTCTCTTTGGTAAAGCAGGAGTTGACATTTTAAACTGAAAAGCAGGGAGAGAGTTGAGATGAGCAGAAATGTCATTGTGCCCATTTCTTTTCCCTGTCTTCCCTCTGTAGGAAAAACATTGCAAGAAGAGCAGATTGAAAGGGTGATGCGGCATAAGCTTTAGTGCAGGCTTACTGAAGACAGAGTCTCTGCAGAGTGTTCTCCAAACAGGGTGGTGTCACATGACAGCCCCTCTCCCTACTCTCGATGCCTGCCAATAGGGCTTTTTTATAGAGAGAAGTAACACAAACATATAATTGGAGCCAAAATGAATTTTAAATGTCTGCAATTTCCCCTGAAAGATATAGTCAATAAAAGAAAAAGATAGCGGGTGTGAAAAGAAGGAGAAGAATTTATTGTGCTAAGGAAATTACTTTTCTTTTTGTTAAAGCCATGAAAATGCTAAATTGTCTCTGGCAGTCGTCCTGCCTTTAATTTGTATATTCAACTCTAACAGTCCTAGCTGAGGGCATCTTACAGGCAAGCCACAAAACCTCTGAGAAACACTATAAGGTAGGATTTCAAATATTATCCAAAGTCTCATAAAGTTCCCAACAGTAAGAGAAATGTTATAGAAAAATTTTTGTTTCAAAAAATGAAGCTCTGTGTTCCTACCTTTGCAAAAAAAGTGGACAGAAATACAAGGGGGCTTCAAAAGGTACAGAAAGATTCACATTATATTTTAATTCCTATTCTTTCTTTCACAATTATACAGTGGTTCATTTCTTCACACACTGTTGATTTCATTTGTTTAATGAAAAAAAATGCAGTTGCTTTGGAGCAGCCTTTATCTAGTCAAAAGTATGTAAAGTTTCCTTACTGGAAAAATAATAATTAAAATTGCTGATGAACTGGCTGACAAATGCTTAATTTGCATTCTGGAACAGACAGGTTTCTTTTTTGTACATAACAATTCGATTTGAAGTATAAATAAAAGCATTTATGGTTTTAATTTTGTAAAATGTTTACTAATATCTTGAAGCATACATTATTATAGAGTGCACAACATGTATGTGTCTATCTGTGATAGTGTCAGTGAAAATAAGAGAAATTTGGGATCCATTTGGCCAAGCAGATTAATGTGTGGTTTGTAGACTGATTCATAGACTCAAAAGTAGATGCAGGTCATTAGGGGCAATCCTATAGTCCCAGACTGTTAAGAAGATACTGCCATTAATTTCTGGATGGACAGCACCTAATCTCATACAGAGAGTTCTTTAAATCAGTAAGTACTTTGTTCTAAAAGTGAATTGTTTGAAGTACATTTCCCTTGCGCTCAGCGCCTCTTATGTTTCCTTTTAGAAAGCCCCCTTGCCTTCTGTGCCGCACAACCTTTACCCTAAGTACAGCTTCAGCAGCACTAACCCATTTGCTGACTCCCTCCAGTTCAACGCCTACAAGGTTGGATGATGCCTATTGTATTGCCATTACCTTGTGCGAATGTTTTGTTCTCTGTGACTGATGTGCTTGTGTCCAACTTCCCTGTTTAGCACCTTTGGGCAGGAAAAACAACAACTGGGTCTTTGGAGTGAGCATGAAAATCCTTTCTTAAGCACATTTTCTTGCCAGAGAGTATTTATTTTTATAGCTAAAATTAAATAGTCTTTGTTTTCCTGAATTTTGGTATGATATAATTTTTTGGTACTTAAATTTGTGTTAGTTGCCTAATGGATGAACCACTTTCTGACATAGTTTCTTTAGAACCCTGTGTTGGTTTAAATCCTTTTCAGACTGCTACATGGTGGTCATAAAAGCTCTTCCATGACTTGATCATTCTTCCAATCATCTTGTATGTCTATTTGCAGACATCTCCTAAATATTCATAAAGCATGTCCATGCAAATGCCTGAATCGGGAAACAACTGTTTTAATGCTCAGAAAACTGTATTTGCATAGTCTCATATCCTGATGAAATTATAAAACCAAAATTGAAACAAAAATTTATAAGAATTTATAAAACCACACTTGAGGAAAAAAAAACTATAAGAACATGTATACCATTATTTGATCGTGAAAAGGAAAAAAGCTGTCAACAATTCCCTTCAGGAAACATTTTATGAATATTCATTGGATTTTCATGTTGTGGTCAGGATAACCAATGATGCTGTATCTGACAGAATGTATTTTCTATTACTGTAGGAATTACAGAGTTCAAGTAGAGTTTTCTTCCATTGTTCCCCAACTAACCCCTTTGCTCCCACACCATTTAAGGTTTGTCTCAGTGTGAAATTTCCATAAGCGAGTGTGTTACAGAGTGCTGTATGTGTATGTTGTGTTTGCTAAGTACATAGTTGGCATGGAGTGATTTCAAGTGCACTTTGCATTTTTACCAGTGAAGATTAAATAGTCTTTGTTATAAAGCTGTGTTATAACTAGTACATTTTTGGATGTATCAGTAGTATGCCAGCTACATACATAATCTTTGTGAGAATGAGGATAACAGAAGGTAGTAAAGCAGAAGACCTAGTTGCCCTGGTTAAGGTACCACTAAATTTTATTCACAGTAGAAAAAATGTTGTGTCTAAGATCCTGAGGGGCTCTTCTGATAGGCAGATTTTGTTTGTTTGTTTCTAATGAAAATAACAGCTTAGAAAAACTATACAGCAAGATCCTTAGAATGTGTATCTATCAATTATGGGAAGCTTAAATTGGATTTTGTTCTACTTTTTAAAAAGGAGATATACTTGTTAACAGTTTCCATTGTTACAGAGATGTGAATGTTTAGCCAGAGAAATTTTGAAGTATCTATCCTCCTTCCCCTTTGTATGATCAATGAACTTTGATTAGGTCAAGTGTGTTTTTGTATGCTTTTTATTTTATTTGCATATTATTAATTGGAAAGATTTATCACACAGTGTTTTGGAAAATAACAAAGGTTCCATTTGCAATAGTAACATTTTCTGTTTGGGCAGTGGTGTGTCAACTATTTTAACAGAACATCCTATTTAGTCTGTATTGCCCTAAAGTGACTGTCAACCAGCTCTCTGCTTTACTAGAGAATTGACTGCTTTCTGAATCACTCAAAGGAAGATCACATTCATGTCAAATCAGGTTTAAATGTTAGGTGTATTTTGGGTATTCTGATTCTTGGCACCAATGCATGCTTCTGAAGTATGTGTACATGCCAGTCATTTAGTGAGTTCTTACAATAAGTAGGTTTTTTAAAAGTCATTTTAAAAGATATACTCATATGAAATAACACATTACGCAAGAGAAATATTTAAGCAAAATTAAGTAAAATGAAGATAGGGGCCGGTGCCACAGCTCACTAGGCTAATCCTCTACCTGCGGTGCTGGCACCCTGGGTTCTAGTCCCACTTGGGGTGCCAATTCTGTCCCAGTTGCTCCTCTTCTAGTCCAGCTCTCTGCTGGGGCCCGGGAGTGCAGTGGAGGATGGCCCTAGTGTTTGGGACCCGCACCCGCATGGGAGACCAGGAGGAAGCACCTGGCTCGTAGCTTCGGATCGGTGCAGCGTGCTGGCCGTAGTGGCCATTTGTGGGGTGAACCAACAGAAGGAAGACCTTTCTCTCTGTCTCTCTCTCTCACTAACTGCCTGTCAAAAAAAAAAAAAATGAAGATAGGAAAAATACAGGTTTAAGGCATCAGGAACAGCTTTATACCAAAGTTAGAGCTTTAGCCAGGTATCCCTGCAAAAGTTAGGTAATTATACTAGAGAGTGGAAGAGACAATGAGGTATAATGGAAAGCATGTTGGATTAAGAATTAAACAAAAAGATGTCCAGGTCCAGTGGTTTTGAACTAAATCTTTCGCTTCTTGTGGCTTCAGGTTGGAAAGATGGATTCATCTGCCAAATCAATAAAATGACCTCAGTGACTTAAAGTCCTTTCAAACTCTTATCATACTGTTTTAAGGATCTATAATATAGGAATTTCATGAAACTTTTATTAAAAATAACAGGACCTACGGTGCTAAGTGATAGCAAGTGCTCATTGGTTTTGTGTGAGGTGTTCCCCTGTGTTTTCCTCACTGGCATGCCACCTTGGCAAGTGACAAATGGTGGTGTTCTTTAAGACCATGCCCCTTTGGCTCTGTGGTGTGCTCTGTGCTAACAAATGGGCTGCCCTGGTAGATGAGCCTGCATGTGTCCCACCCCTTTCATGGGTTTCCTGAGAGGATTCAGGTAGCAATAAAGAATTCTTTACGTGGAGTCTCATTAACAAGACTTCCAAAAGTTTGCCCAGACCTTGCATTTTAATGATAACTTTTAAATTAATTTTTTTCCCAAAGTGCAAGTTTGTACAGTTCTCTAGCTTCAACCACCTAAGATTCAAATGGACAAATTCATTGGCTTAAAATAGCAAACAACAGTTGAATGATTTGTGCTCTGATACTATTTTGTTGACCCTATTTTCACTTTACCTGAATCCTGTCTAATATTCCATATACTCCCATAATAGAGCTTTTCCATTCTTTGTTAGGTGTTTTAAAGCCAGTTCTTGTGTGGACATTGTGCTTGCATTTCTTTTCCTTAAAGTTTTCTTGCTGAGTTGCACATACCCACTGCATTCTTCTTGTCCCCACAGGCACCCAGTCAGTCAGAGGCAGAGGAAGAGAAGGCTCCTCTGTGTGATGTGCCCGCACCCACTCCTTCAGGATTGGCAGAAATGGGCAGTGATCTCACACAGTCTGCAAGTAAAACCTCAGAAGATGCGGATAAAGAGGATGAGTTTGGGTACAGCTGGAGTAAGTTGTCTTTCTGTGATACACTTAATTATGAGAGGTATTAAGATAGCTTTGGGTTTCTCCAGGCTAATGCCCTGCATGATTAAGTATGCTTCAGCTTCACTAATGTATACTGTGATCCTGCATGGAAAAAGAATGTTTTTGTTTTTCTTGAATACAACATGGATTCCTGAGGCATGAAATCATGCCACTCCTTTCCTTTGAATGTGCATTCCTGATAAAGCTGCTTGCCTTTTGTATGAGAATTAAGGAGGACAGGCCTGCTCTCAGAAGTTAATACTGGATCAGCCACTCTGTGGTCCTGAACAAGTTATCACCCCTTTCTAGGCCTCCTATTCTCCTTTGTGAAATTTGATGAGTTCTTGATATTGCACCTGGAACTTCCAGCATTTTCTGTACTAGGATGGTAACATAGTATAATTGTTGAGATCAAAATGTGGGGCATTTGGTAAGTTATTTAACTGCCTCTAATTTTTGGCCCAGTGGTTACCTTTCTTTTTCTTCCGTTAGGTTGTTAACATGAAATTTGATAATACTTGAGGAATGTTCTTCTTAATGCCTGGTGCATAGGGATCATTGAAAGGCAACTGTTACTAGAGGAATGGGCTGTCTCTGTTTTCCAAAGGAATGACCCATTAGGCAGGGAAATATTTTTTTAAAAATTTAGTCAAAAGTTAGAAATGTATTATTGTTTTAAGATGTCTCACTTAAAAGGCTGATTGTTTCCTTTAAGAAAGCTATTGTGCATGCTTTTACAAAGTATAAAGTTATACTGCTGGATTCTCTAAGGAGTCAGTGATGATAGTTTATAAAATCAATGCAGTTAAGCTAAAGCAATCTTAAACAACAAAAGCAAAACCAGAGGCACCACAATACCAAATTTCAAGACATACTACAGGGAAGTTATAATTAAAACAGCCTGGTATTGGTACAAAAATAGATGGATAGACCAATGGAACAGAGTAGAAACCCCAGAAATCAATCCAAACATCTGCAACAAACCTATATTTGACCAAGGAGCTAAAACAAACCCCTGGAACAGAGACAGTCTCTTCAACAAATGGTGCTGGAAAAAGTAGATTTTCACATGCAGAAGTATGAAGCAAGACCCTACCTATGCCTTACATAAAAATCTACTCAACATGGATTAAAGATCTAAGTCTATGACCCGGAACCATCAAGTTAATTGAGAACATTGGGGAAACCCTGTAAGACATTGACACAAGCAAAGAATTACTGAAAAAGACCCCAGAGGCACAGGCAGTCAAAGCCAAAATTGAACAAATGGGATTATTTCAAATTGAGAAGCTTCTATATGGCAAAAGAAACAATCAGGAAAGTGAAGAGGCAACCGACAGAATGGGAGAAATTATTTGCAAACTATGCAACTGATAAAGGATTAATAAGCAGAATCTACAAAGAGATCAAGAACTCCACAACAACAAAACAACAACCCGGTTAAGAGACGGTCAAAGAATTAACAGACACTTTTCAGAAGAAGAAATCCAAAGGCCAACAGACATATGAAAAAATGTCCAGAATCACTAGCCATCAGGGAAATGCAGATCAAAACCACAATGAGATTTCACCTTACCCCAGTTATATTGGCTCTCAAACAGAAATCAACCAAACAAAAAATGCCAGAGAGGATGTGGGAAAGGGTACCCTAATCCACTATTGGTGGGAATGTAAACTGGAAAAGCTACTATGGAAGACAGTATAGCGATACATCAAAAATCTTAATATAGACCTGCCATATGACCCAGCCATCCCACTCCTTGGAATTTGCCCAAGGGAAATGAAATTGGTAAACAAAAGAGCTATCTTAACCTCCATGATTATTGCAGCTCAATTCACAATAGCTAAGACATGGAATCAACCTAAATGGCCATCAACCAAAGGCTGGATAAAGAAATTATGGAATATGTACACTATGGAAGACTACACAGCAGTACAAAATATTAAATCTGGTTATTTGCAACAAAATGGATCAATCTGGAAACTTCATACTTAGTGAAATAAGTCAGTCCCAAAGGGACAAATACTATATTTTCTTCCTGATCTGTGAGAACTAATAACATACATAATATGAAAGCTGTAGAAGTGAAATTGACACTTTGAGAAACAATGACTTGAGCAGCCCTCATCCTGACTGTTGAGAACAGTTTTATATTTTATTTCTTTTTTTCTTTTCTCTTCTTTATACTATATGTTGAATTCTTTACTTAACATAGTTAATAATATGTATATAAAGTCAATTGAAAATAGAACCCAATAAAAAAATAGGAGGGTGGATAAGAGAGGGAGGAGGAAGTTTGTAACTATAAAGCTGTGTAGTTCTGTATACAGTCCTACAGATTTACTTCTAAGAGTACAATTTAAAAACTTGTCATGGGACTCCAAATCCCATTAAAATTGGTGTTAAAAATGCCATCTTTATTGTTAAAGTGATCACATTAAGGGTTAAAGTGAACATATAGATAGGATTAAGTGTTAAAGAGATCATATAAATAGCATCAAGTGCCTGGTAATAATAATAATAGAATTAAAAAGGAGGGAATGTCCAACATGGGAAGCAGTCCCCACAGCAGATGCATAGAATGACAATCACTTTAAGTAAGTGACCTCAGAATCAGCCCTTAAAGCATTCAGATATGTCTGAAAAGCCCATGAGAGCATTTCAGGCATGGAAAGCCAAGATATTGTGGCAAAAGATATCCTACATGAAGGATCTCCGTGAATGAGACTCCAGTGGAAAGAAGGGGCCATCAAAGAATGATGCACTTTTCTCTGAAGGGAGGAGAGAACTTTCACTTTGCTATAGCCTTGTCCAAATACTGATAGAGTTTGTAGTCACAAAAGGCTTCCATAGCCCTGGCAGCTCATGGCAAGAGCCTCAGGTGATCACTGACATCATAAATAAGAGTGTTAATTATTAACAACATAATTCACTGTGCGCTTACTCCCCATGTAGGACCTCGGTTCTTAATGAGTTGTACTATGAGAATTAACTGCAAAACTTGTTCTCAAGCTGTACTTTATATGTTGCATGTATGTGTGGGTGCAAACTGTTGAAATCTTTATTTAGTATAGATTTGGTCAATGGGATAGGAGAGGGAGTAGGGGATGGGATGGGAGTGGAGATGGGAGGGTGGTTATGGGGGGAAGAACCACTATATTCCTACAGTTATACCTATTAAATTTGCATTAATTAAATAAAAGATTTTACAAAAAAAATCAATGTAGAGTGTGTGACATTAACCATGTAGTTAACATTTTCTAGGCAATTAAACTGTAACGTTCACAGTTTTTCTCAGTTTATTATCAAGAGTATTAAAGGATATTGTTAATCCAGTGAAGGTGACCAGAATGTACTCTGGAAAATATGAATCAGAATATTTGAGATGATTAACAAGCCACCACAGAGCTTAATGGCTTATACCAACAATTTATTATTAACCTTTCAAAGTGTGGTTTAGCTGGCTGAGCTTGACTGGATGTCCAAGGTGGCTCGCTCACATGGCTGGCAGTTAATGCTGGAGCTGTGTACTAAAGCATTACCATTGGTCTCAGCCTCTAAGATCAAAGGGAATGAATAATAGACAATACCTCTTGAAGATATGGTGTAGGAGAAATTTTCTCATCTAGCTAGGATATATTTCAAAGCTGGAATGTGTCCATCAATTTGTCCTGGGCAATATGAAAACCCATTCTCTTCATTCTGGAGATATATAGCCAGCAGCTGTCTACCATGATGTTATACTATACAATGTAGACTTTCATTTGAGAGGAAAGCTCCCACCGACACATGAACAGAAATATGCTGGCTACCTTAGTTCTGTCCTGCTCTCCAAATGATAAATTAAATACCTAGTTTAATCATAGATAGACTTTGAGAGTTTATAAATGTGAGTCACTTTTCCTAGGTCTGAACAACTCAAGATAAACTAATTAATCAGATGCTGTGTTTTTTGTACCCTGCAATCAAAGAAATCCCTCAAAATGTGGGTCTTTTAGGAAATCATTCCTGATATTTGTTAATATTTTATTTTATTTTCCTGTTTTGGTACAATAGTGCCCTTTGAAACAAAATCAAATAGCCTTCCATCATAAAGCCTTTGACTGTGATTTAACTCTAAATATGTGCTTTTTGTTATTGTTGTTGCATGTAGAAAATATCAGAGAGCGTTACGGAACACTAACAGGAGAGCTCCATGTGATTGAACTGGAGAAAGGTCGTAGCGGTTTGGGTCTCAGTCTTGCTGAAACAAAGACCGATCCAGAATGAGTGTCTTTATCGTGGGGATTGATCCAAACGGAGCAGCAGGGAAAGATGGTAGATTGCAGATTGCCGATGAGCTTCTAGAGGTAAGTTTTTATGGAACCTTTGAGTTTACATTTATTGTAGCAGCTGCAATGGAATCATCAGTTTCCAATCACTGAAACCTCATAAAGGGAGGTCTTCAAAAAGTTAATGGAAAAGTGCACATTTTAATAAAAACTATGAAAACAATTTCAAATTTTGTGCTAATATAAACATCTTGTAGTTCTGTGTACTTTTTGAAGTACCCTCACATGGTGATTGCAAAAACATTTACTTGCCTAACAAAATAGATGTATTGCAGCAAATTCAACTCTAAACCCAAATCTCTGCTAATAGTCTATGTTTCCATTAACTTCCATTAAAAGGTCATGACTATGTAACACCAGAAACAATTTTTGCCCCAAGACAGTAATAAAGATCACACTTCCAAAACATTTTCTTTGTGTGCTGCATTTTTATTAGGAGTTTTGAAGAGCCAAATGTCCAGTCATTCCCCAATAATGAGGCTGACCCACTAGACATTCTGGAAGTTGAATCCCTAATGGGAGAAGTGATGAGAGCGCAGTGGATTGGGGTCAAGCTTAAGACTAAATAACAAAAGCAGTAATTCAGCCTGCCAAACAAAATAAATATGTGGACCATACCTTATACTATTTATAATGTTTTTTTGCTTGAGTTGTTTGTGCTTGCCTCCTGTAGGCTGGGATCCAGGAATCTTCATATTCTTCCATTTTGGCTAGGGAGCCTCCAGTAATGACTCAAAGAGCAAATCTTACCAAGCATCACTTCTCCCAACAGCCTATTCCCTAAGACATGAGTTTTGAGACTGGTTGGGAGAAAAAATGACTATGAGAGTAGGGGAGTTTCCAGGATGTTCTTTTCAGATCATAGCCCCTGGTTTGTACAAAGTATGTGGAAGCCTATTGCCTGCTAGGAAACTTGAGTCTCTTCTACAGTTAGTACAAATGCCACCTCTGAGCCACCAGTGCATAGATATCAAACTTTATGCAAATTCTTTTAATCTTGGCTTTAAATATCTTTCTTTCATTCACCATCAAAGCTCAGGTTCATGTCACAGGGAGGAAAATACTTACATTTTAAAGGAAGATAAAGGATGTTTTTCATTAGTTAGATAGGATACTACCAATTTTGAAATGAAAATTTCAGGATTAATTAATGATATTTATTTCTCACAGATCAATGGTCAAATTTTATATGGAAGAAGTCATCAGAATGCTTCATCAATCATTAAATGTGCCCCTTCTAAAGTAAAAATAATTTTTATCAGGTAAGCATTTTATTTTGCTGATTTACCAAATCATTTCATTAGCACTTCAACTCCAGGTTCTTTTAAATGAAAAAGAAAAACGTGTAAATATGTGTGTTAGGCCAGTGCCACGGCTCACTAGGCTAATCCTCCGCCTGCGGTGCCGGCACCCCAGATTCTAGTCCCAGTTGGGGTGCCAGATTCTGTCCCGGTTGCTCCTCTTCCAGTCCAGCTCTCTGCTGTGGCCCAGGAAGGCAGTGGAGTATGGCCCAAGTGCTTGGGCCCTGCACCCGCATGGGAGACCAGGAGGAAGCACCTGGCTCCTGGCTTTGGATCAGCGCAGTATGCCAGCCACAGCACGCCGGCTGCAGTACGCTGGCCGTAGTGGCCATTTGGGGAGTGAACCAATGGAAAAGGAAGACCTTTCTCTCTCTCTCTCTCTCTCTCTCTCTCTCACTGTCTAACTCTTCCTGTCAATAAAAAAAATGTGTGTTGTAGTTTTAAAGAATTGTATCTAATACTCTGATTCTTCAAGTAAGAGAATGAAAAATATCGTAATAGTATGATTGATGTTTTTTTCTTTTAGGAATAAAGATGCAGTGAGTCAGATGGCTGTATGTCCTGGACATACAGGAGAACCATTGGCTTCTACCTCAGAGAGCCTTCAAAGTAAGGAGGTATGGGTAACTTATCTTTGTATCTCTAGGAAGATTTGATCAATATACCCTTTATTCATTCAGTAAACAATACTAACACAATTATAGGGATATCAAACATAGATAAGGTACAACTTCAAACATTTGTAGCCCAGTGTAAGAAGACACTCAGCTAACTAAGCATACCATTTCCATGAATGGTGCAAAAGGAATAGTGATCGTAGGGAAGGAGTTGTCAGTCCTGCCTCTGGAGAGAGTGAGAGTAAGACTTTAGGGAGAAGGTCTCCCCATGAGATGTGTGGATCCTGGAAGATTGGAAGGTTGAAGCATCATAAGCAGAGGGTATGGAGTAAAGACTGGCATGGAGGTGTTCTGGCCAATTCAAGGGATCTCATTTCAGTGGAGGACATGGAATGGGGAGCTGGAGAGGAAAGGGTCACAGAGAAAGGAAACAAAGCCAGGGCATAGGAAACATTCTAACAAGCTGATATGTATATAATTTATATAATATATAAAATATATTATATATTTATATTTATTATATGATATTTATATGATATATAAATATATATTATATAGGTATGTATATATTATACATACACACACACATAAATACTGACTTTGCAGTAGTGTGGAGCCCCAAAATGAGAGAATTGTACTTTAAAAAAATTGTCAAACAATAATGTAGGCTGTAAGGAAGAGAAGCTAAACTACAGGAATTAAGAAAATTATTGGAATAATTAAGGATAATATAACAAGGGCCTGAATTAAGCTAAGAAAAGTGGGAATGCTTCTGGCAGATGTCTAAAACCTAAATTGTCCCCATCTTAAATGTACCCACTGAGGACAAAATAGCGGTTGAGAATTTGTATTTGGGACAAGTATTTCTTTAGTAATCAACCTTGTGACAGACAGCTTTTTGGGGCTGGAGATAAGATGAATAAATAGACAGAATGTACATGTTTCCAGATACCTGAATTGGTAACATAATGGATGGCTACCTTTCACCAAAATAGAAAATACAGAAAAGTGAAGCAGAAATGTGCAAAAATTTGAGGCTTAAGAATGAAGTACCCACTGGAACACATGTTAGAAGTACCTATTAGAACATTTAGTCTAGAATTTGGGGATGAGTCTCCATACATGCATACTTGCATTTGGAAGCCAAGAGAGCTGAGGTGCTTGAGAAGTAAGGATGGAATCCTTTAATAGAAACACTAAGGAAGAAAGACAACAAAGAGAGGTCAGAGGAGAAGAAGAAAACTCAAGAGGGCTTGTTGCACTCAATGGAGCAAAGCTTGTTCAACAAGAAGGGCATATTCCACAAACTTACATGCTTCCAAGAGTCCAGTAAGAGGTAAAGAATTTTTTTAAGATTCAGCAGTTCAGGCCGGCACCGCGGCTCACTAGGCTAATCCTCCGCCTTGCGGCGCCGGCGCACCAGGTTCTAGTCCCAGTCGGGGCACTGGATTCTGTCCCGGGTGCTCCTCTTCCAGGCCAGCTCTCTGCTGTGGCCAGGGAGTGCAGTGGAGGATGGCCCAAGTGCTGGGCCCTGCACCCTATGGGAGACCAGGATAAGTACCTGGCTCCTGCCATCGGATCAGCGCGATGCGCCGGCCGCAGCGCGCTGGCCGCGGTGGCCATTGGAGGGTGAACCAATGGCAAAGGAAGACCTTCTCTCTGTCTCTCTCTCTCACTGTCCACTCTGCCTGTCAAAAAAAAAAAAAAGATTCAGCAATTCAGAGATTCAGAGATTATTAGTGATTTTGAGATGGCGAGTGATAGATCAGAAATTAAGGAGGGAGAGAGTGTGGTGGCTAGAGCGATGTGGGAATTGAAGACGGTTCTTTCCATTCTATTTTTTAATTGAAAAATCGTTGAATACACATATAAGATAAATAAAAGGAAATAATAGATAGTGAAAAGCTTAAAATCAGAAGAATCATGGTGACTGTCCTTGGGAGAAGGTATAGGAACAGAAATAGTCTCCCCTAAATGAATATAAACCTAGGGCTTATATTTACATAAGACAGATATACAAATCATCATCTCATTCCAATGAATTGAGTCAGGTGGTTATTCAAGATGGCCAAATCATAAAAGAAAATTTTATTTTCTTATAAATTTTACTAAGTATACCCCCTAAGAAAATGAAGTATTATAATGATCTTCAGGTAAAACATTCAATACTCTTTATTTTTAATTAGATTATTTATTTGAAAGAGTTACACAGAGAGAGAGAGAGAGAGGCAGAGACAGAAAAATCTTCCATCTGCTGATTCACGTCCCAGATGGCCACAACGGCCAGAGCTGGGCCGTTCCATAGCCAGGAGACAGGAGCTTCTTCCATCTCCCTTGTGAGTGCAGGGGCCCAAGAACTTGAGCCATCCTCCACTGCTTTCCCAGGAGCATTAGCAGGGAACTGGATCAGAAGTGGAGCAGCCGGGGCTTGAACCAATGCACTTATGGGGTTCCAGCACCACAGTCCATAGCTTTACTGGCTACTCTACAGCACTGGCATTCAATACTTTCTAAATTCACTTGATAACTAACACAGTAAAGAGGAGTGCATGATGCCTCTGATCACACTGTTTATTTCTGTAAGTTTCACTCTTTGGTAGCTGGGTTGCTGTGAGATTTTGTTTTAGAGTAAATCAGATCCCCTTGGCCTCATGTACCCTAAAATAATTCCTCTCCAATCATATCTCATAGGGATTTTGAAGAACACGTTATGATTATAAATGCCATAAATAGCATAAATAAATGTATGAAATAATTTTGACTAAGTGGCTTGTATATTTAAAAAATGAAAAATCCAACACTCATCGCCTTTTTTTGCCATTTCTTTTCATCTGTCAGATGGAGTCTGGTGTTACTATGTCTGAGGTAGCTGTGGGCCTCAGTTCATTTAAAAATGTGCAACATCTGGAGCTTCCCAAGGTAAATCTGCTTTAAATTGGAATGATGTGATGTGAGTACCTTCTCACGAGGGTCTCAGCTCACTGGTTCTCAGAAGTGGTCTCCGTACCAGCAGCCTCAGCACCACCTGGCATCATGTTAGAATGCAGCTGCAGAGCCCACCCAGCCCTGCCTGCTGCAGTAGAAGCTCTGGGGTTGGGCCCAGAGGTACGTGTTTTAATGAACCTTCCTAGTGAGGCTAATACACTCTAAAGTTTGGAACCCACTGTGCTGACTGATACTTTATCAGGGACCAGCTTTACCTTCCTTGTAGTTGTTCCAAAGTATGAAATTCAGCCATCTCTCCTTTATTCTTTTACCACGTTCCTGCTATGGAGGAAATATGAATAAAGCAATATGAGTTATAACCTTTGTCCTTCATAAAACTGACACTCAAATAGCTAGAAGTTCTACTGTCCTTTGAAAAGACCTGAGCTTTCAGTTCAAATGACTACTGTAAAGAAGTGGTTTGCTGAACACATTAGGTTTACCAATGCTTTCAGGTGCTGCAGGCTCAGCCTGGGAAGCAGGTAAACAGTACATGAATAAGAAAATAAGCAGTGAAATGTTTTGGAAGGTGAGAAGAAAGAGGAGGTATGGTGGAGGAGTAGGGGGTGATTGACAGGACATACTGCAGACAGAAAGAAGTGGAGCAGTTCGTATGCCCCTGCAGCTGAGGGGCAGTGCTGTGTGGTGCTTACACCCCAGCCTCCTGAGTCATTCCATCTGGGTTGCTTCATCAAGTGCACATCAAACATATTATGTGATCTTCCTTTGCCTCAGTTTGCCTCAGTCTGTAAAGTGAAGATGGTAACAGTATTTTTGTCTTCAGAAATTGTAAAATGAAGATAAAATGAGTTGCTTATAAAATGGTCAGCATAAATCCTGGCACACGGTCACACAGAGAGGAAAATCACCGTTACCGTGTTAACTATACTGATGTTTTCTTTCTATCTCTCCTTAACAACAGAAATTCTATACAAAAATGGATTTCTCCAGTCTTGTTATATGTGCATGAAAGGCATGTTGTTATTGATTGTTCTGCCATAAAGAGAAGGAAAAGAGCAGGAGTCATTAAAGCCTTTTGCCCTTTCTGTCAAGAAGTCCATAGTCTTCAATTTGAGAATTTCATTCTATTGCCATTTAAAGAGAGAATATCTTCCTCTTTCTTTTTCTGTTTCAAGGTTTGGCTTATTTTCCTCTTCTGTCCCGAAGTCAGAGTTTATAGAACTTAATGATGCAGCCAGCGCCGCGGCTCACTAGGCTAATCCTCCACCTAGCGGCGCCGGCACACCGGGTTCTAGTCCCAGTCGGGCCGCCGGATTCTGTCCAGGTTGCCCCTCTTCCAGGCCAGCTCTCTGCTGTGGCCAGGGAGTGCAGTGGAGGATGGCCCAGGTGCTTGGGCCCTGCACCCCATGGGAGACCAGGAAAAGCACCTGGCTCCTAGCTCCTGGCTCCTGCCGTCGGATCAACGTGGTGCGCCAGCTGCAGCGCGCCGGCCGCAGCGGCCATTGGAGGGTGAACCAATGGCAAGGAAGACCTTTCTCTCTGTCTCTCTCTCTCACTGTCCACTCTGCCTGTCAAAAAAATAAAAAATAAAAAATAAAAAAATAAAAAAAAGAACTTAATGATGCAATAAATAAGTTGCTAATTCTGAAATGTTTAAATATATATTGAATTCATTACAATGAATGATTTTTATGCCAGTTTATGATTATCTTTAGAAAAGTCTAAATAAAATAATTTTTAACATATCATTCCATTGCATTTATCCTAATATACTCACCCAAGATTTGGTACATCCTAGAATATCATTATGCCCAGGAACACTTGGTGAAATAAATTTGTTAAATGAATGAAGAGCAGACTGCTATAGTGGCTGAGGACACAGCCTAAAAGGCAGAGCATCTGGGTGAAGGCCCTAGATTTGCCACTTGCAGACTGTGAGACTGTGACCTTGGACACTGCTGTTAATCTGTACAGTTTCCCCTCCTGCGAATGGGGATAATAAGAGTACTTGGCTTGTAGAGTTGTAGTAAGACTTGAATATACATTATGAGAATTAAATATGCACATGGATAGTGTCCAGTATGTTGTAAGCATTACCCACTCTGACTATTGATGTAATTAGTAGGAAAGAATAAGTTGGCAGATATCTGACTGTTCTTGATGCTGGTTTTCTCTGACACCTCCTCTAGCATCTGACTACTTGATAACAGTGTTAGATAAAAGCATTTTTAATCCCCTTCTCAGAACTTTTCAAGGACTTTCACTGGCCAACAGATCAGTTCAGCTTCCTCAGTCTGGTATTTAGCAAAGCTGGTGGATGGAAGTCTGCTGTGTTGATCAGAAGCTCTTCTGAGCAATCTCACTTCAGCTTCCCACTCCCGTTGGTCCTCGCTTTCTTCTGTAAATGGGGCCTCCTAGGTCAGAAGGGTACTGCTGGAGTTGGGAGCTAATGAACAGTTTCTTCCTTCTGCAGTGCCAAAGCTGGTGTCTGCCTTTAGCTGAAAACTGATGTGCACACTTCCCTTTCTGAATTAGCTGCTAAGAGGAATCAATGAATTGCACACAGAAAGCTTCTATGTCTCTGTAGATTTCAAGGAAATCTAAAGCTCAGGTAACTGGAATGTATTTATTGATGAAAGTCAAAGTGAGTAAGGGAAATACTCAAAATCTTTTAAAATCAGCTAGACAGAAGAAGCATTAGCCATGATTTTAATGATGTGTTAAAAGAGGAAAAGTACAACAAATCTAATTTTGCAGATCTTAATTGGCTTTTACTTGTTAATCTAGAATCTGGCAGCAGTCCGGACCAAAAATGGTTCAGAAAGCTCCGCCGCACCACATGTGCATGTTGTATTTATAGCCAGAGGAAAGGAAGTGACATACAGACAACGGAAGTGAGACAGAGAGATAGCTTAATTAGCTACAGCTTAGCGTTTGCCTTATTTGAACCTGGTTTGCACAGGTATTGCCTGTGTTTCATGGAGGCTTGGTGGCTGTTACAGGCTTGAGACTCTGCTGCTTGTTATAAGAGTAGGTTGCAGTCTGTTTATACATCAAATTAGGTAACAGTTCACTATGTTTGGAGTAGCCTTTAGTCCAGACTTAAAATATGTATGGAGGCAGTTTTAGTCTAAGCTTAATTCAATTTAACAGATTTTAAGTGCGGGCTTTGGAGTCGTTCAGCCTTCTCTCGGCTTTAGGCAACCATTCTCTGTGCCTTATTTTCCCCAATTACAACTTCTAATTGGATATACTATTGTAAGGATTAAATGAAAGAATTTATATAAAGCATTTACGCAGTGCAAGTTATATAATTATTTTCATTTATATTTTTATCCATGAGGTTCTGAGTGCCTCATAGAATATGTCCCTGAAAATATTCCTTGAGGAAGCTATTGCTTTAAATGCCACTAAGTGATCCATCACACAAAGCCTGTATACTACCCCTAGTGTTAGCTGGCTCTGGGAGTAAAAATCATGTATAGAAGAGAGAATTAACCAGATTCTGATACTCCTGCCTCATCTGAAATCCTTTGTCATTTATACCACTGGATGTTTTTAAAAATTAGGACTATTTGAAAAATAATGTAATGGTAATGTCACATTTGTTTATTATGTTATGTACTTATGAGGTTGCTATTATTTCCCCACTGTTTTTTTAAAATTTATTGATTTTATATATTTAAAATTTAAATATATAATTTGAAAGGCAAAAGAGACAGAGAAAGAGAGAGAGAGAGAGATTCTTATATCTGCTGGGCACTACCCAAATACCTACAATAACCAGAAGCCTGGAACTCAATCCATAATTTCCTGTGTCAGTGGGAGAGACTCAAGTACTTGAATCAACATCTGCTACTCCCAGAGTATGCATTAGTAGGAAGCTGGAATTGGGAAGTGGAACTAAGTCCCAAATCCAAACACTTTGAAATAAGATGTAGGCGTCCTAGTGGCACCTTAACTGCTACACCAGTGCCTAGAGTTTCCCCCACTTTTAACTGTTCTCTGAATTCCAAATGGTAGAGCTGGAACTTAATTCTGGCATTCTAACTCCAAGTCCCATTTCCCATTAGTAGTTGGGGCTGTGTGTGGATGAGTGTATGTGTAGTTAGCTTTGTAATATTCTGTGTGGTGTTGGGACATAATATTTATGCAGATATGTAGCTTACTTTTCCTGCTGGGAAAAATAAGTAAGCATGCTAATTCCATAAGGCTAAACCAAAGAAGAGGATTTATAGACTAGGTTATTACTGTTGAACTCTACCTACTTTCCTAAAACTACCAAGGGTCCATGAAAATGGGGAATTCATCCTTGGTTGCCTGTGTGTCACTTGGATTGTCTTTCTTTTTTCTTCCAGCTAATATAAAACACCCAGCTGAAATCTCACCTCTGTTTATTTTGAAATATTCCTTTGCTATTCTGGCCTATATAATGCTTACCACTAATGTTTTGTTGTCATTTAAGAATATATAGGCCAAGAATAGTTTTGGGTGAAATTTGTTTGTGTATCTTTTCTATAAGTATAAAATGTACACACACTGAGAGAGGAATCCTTGCCCTTTTTTCTCATTATGTTATGCCGTGTTGTATGCATAGTTAAGACTAAGTATTTGGAAGGGAAGAGTGAGCATTGACATGCAGTGTATGCATAAAGTGGAAGATGTTGAGAGCAGAAGAGTCAGGGAGGGAGAATAATTTTTGGATTCTTTCAAAATTGGGAGTTTCAGTAACAGATCGTTCTAATTCTAGTTTGAGTTTCTTAGGAACTCTTTGACAAGTACATGATTTTTATTCTTTTGAATCCTTTATATTTTAAAATAGGAAAATCAAAGTATGAACAGAACGGAAAGTTCTCATCTATTCATATTTAATCTAAACTTCAGTGACTGAAATGCTAATTCAGTTTATTAGAAAATATTTTTTATTAAGGTTCATTTTTAGCATAGTTTTCCCCAGCAAAGGACCTACACATCAAAGCAGTTAACAGTCTTCTGGCCAGCACCGCGGCTCACTAGGCTAATCCTCCGCCTTGCGGCGCCAGCACACCGGGTTCTAGTCCCAGTCGGGGCACCGGATTCTGTCCCGGTTGCCCCTCTTCCAGGCCAGCTCTCTGCTGTGGCCAGGGAGTGCAGTGGAGGATGGCCCAAGTGCTTGAGCCCTGCACCCTATGGGAGACCAGGATAAGTACCTGGCTCCTGCCATTGGATCAGCGTGGTGCGCCGGCCGCAGCGCACCACCCATGGCGGCCATTGGAGGGTGAACCAACGGCAAAGGAAGACCTTTCTCTCTGTCTCTCTCTCTCACTGTCCACTCTGCCTGTCAAAAAATAAAAAATAAACAGTCTTCTATCATTGTCAGAGATCTGGTTCATATTCACCCAGTTTTATTTGGTAAAAATTTCAAATACAATTAAAAGTTATTCTTCTGAGTTGTAGAGACCTTGAACCTTCAAAAAAGTCCTCCTGATAATACTAGTTTGTTTAGATTCATCCCAGTTTCAATTCTTATTTATTCTAACTGTTTAATTATACAACTCTTCCTCCATAAATATACTTCCTAAATTAGTTTCACATTCCCTGTATGGTAGTATTTTAGTGACTAGCTTAGGACAGCATTTGTCAGATCTTTTACTGCAGAGGATTATTCATACTTTGGCAGAATTAGAGGAGAAAATTGAGCAATTAGATAAGAAATTACACACTCACACCTTATTTCCTTTTTTGTAAGTTGTCTTGCTTATCTGATATTAATAAACTGTGTGTGGGGCTGGGTGTGGATGGGTATATGTATAGTTACTTTTGTAGTATTCTGTGTGGCATTCAGACATAATATTTATGCAGATGTGTAACATTTTTCCCATCAAGAAACATAAGTAAAAATGCTAACTCCATCAGGCTTAACAAAAGAAGAGGATTTATAGACTCAGGTAGTTGGTCAGTAGGCTATAAGGACTGATCTTGTGACAGCCATCCACAGGATCAGACCCGAAGGCTGACCTTTCCCATGTTTCAGCAGAGCTACCACTTATAGCTGGGCTCTGTGTTAGTTCTCTTACCTACAGATGGAGGAGGAACATTCCTTTTTGTTGTTGTTGTTAAAGATTTATTCAAAGGCAGAGTGACAGAGTGAACAGGGGAGACACACAGAGTTCTTCCATCTGCTACTTCTCTCCTCAAATGGCTGCAAAAGCCAAGTTTAGGCCAAGCTAAGGCCAGGAGTCTAGAATCCCATTCTCGTCTCCCAGATAGGTGGCAGCAGCCCATGCACTAGGGCCATCTTCTGCCACCCTTTGCAGGCATATTAGCAGGAACACTAGATCAGAAGCAGAGCAGTGAAGACTCAAACTGGCAATTCAGTATGGGATGCCAGTATCACAAGTGAGAGCTAACCCCTCTGTACCACAACACTTGCCCCAGAAGGGGCATTCTGAGCAAAAGTCCCATGATTCTCTTAATTGTGTTGTTGGAGCTACTTATCTTTTGCTATATAACAAATACCACAATTAAATTAAAAGACTTATAACAACACGCATTTATTGTCTCACAATGTTTATGGGTCAGGCGTTTGGGATCAGTTTTGCTAGGTTCTGGCTTAGACATCTCTTGTGCAATTGCCAGCAAACTGCCCGCATGAGTTCCAGGCATCTGAAGATTTGGCTGGGTGCTGAACATCACTTCCAAGGTGATTAACTCAATGGCTATTGTCAAGAGGCCTTATTTCCTCCTCCCAGGGCTGGTGGCATGTCTGTTGTCTTCATGGCATGGCAGCTCACTTCCCATAGCGCAATGAGTCAAGAGAAACAGCAAGGAGAAGCCCTGGTGTCCTTTCTGATGCAGTTGCCGTTTTCAACACCATCACTCTGTTTTATACTGTATGTTAAATTTCAGTCATTAAGTCCCAGCCCATACATTCACCTCTCCCCATATGGAAGGGAGAAATATCAAGGATTTTGCCTCATATATTTAAACATCATAGGGAACTCAGAGAAGGAGAGAGGGGATAGAGGGAATGGAAAAGTAGGTGGGAAGAAGTTGTTAGGCATGCAAGGGGGAGCTGCCTCTATATTCTAATGAAGCTTACCAGTTTTTGCAAAGGGTTGAGATGAGAATGAATGTTAGATAAGCAATTGGCAAATGAGAAACAATTGGCAGTGCGAGAGAGAGACAGAGAGAAAGGTCTTCCTTTGCTGTTGGTTCATCCTCTAATGGCCACGCGGGCGGTGCGTGCGGCCACGCGCCGCGCTGATCCGATGGCAGGAGCCAGGTACTTATCCTGGTCTCCCATGGGGTGCAGAGCCCAAGTACTTGGGCCATCCTCCACTGCAATCCCTGGCCACAGCGAGAGCTGGCCTGGAAGAGGGGCAACCGGGACAGAATCCGGCACCGCGGAGTGGGACTAGAACCCGGTGTGCTGGCGCCGCTAGGCAGAGATTAGCCTAGTGAGCCGCCAGTGCCGGCTGGCAAATGCCTTTTGTACCAATAAAGTACTTCCATGATTGTACATGGCAGGCCTTTTTTTTTTTTTTTCTTGAGTTTTAAAAAAGTTTAATTTATTTTACAGACAAGAAAACAGATTTAGAGGTAGATGTTTCTACCAAGTTTCTCAAGTAGGTCGATGGTAAATTTGCTCACCCAAAGGTACAGTTTTCTCTGTATTATACACAGGACTGATTTCCTGGAAAGAGATTGGTGGTAGAGACAGATGAACAGTACTATCTGAACTTATCAGGCATTAATAATTACCCAGAAAAGACACAGTGTTGATAGTAATTAAAGCGAGAGTGAAACCTGGCCCTTTTTTTTCCCTTTCTTTATTTGAAAGGCAGAGTTACAGAGAGAGAAGGACCCCAAATGGCTGCAGCGGCCAGGGCTGTTCCAAGCCCAAGCAGCAGCAGGAAATTCATCGGGGTCTCCCATGTGGGTGCAGGGGTGCAAGGACTTGGGCCATCCTCTGCTGCTTTCCCAGGGAGGACCGCAAGTAGAGCAGCCAGAATTTGAACTGGGCCCATATACAATGCCGGCATCACAGGCGGTGGCAACAACACCAGCTCTGAAAGCTTACTTAATGTTGTAGGCATGACCATGAATGTGATGGCAAGCTTGGCTTTAGTGTGGGTATTTCGGGGAAGTCATGGCAAGATTTGCTGGTTGTTTTTACTTTGTGTGATTTTTCCTGGATGAAAACTATAATGAAAAAGGTTTCTAGCTCTGTCCAGAATTAAATGTTCAAAACTCTATTTTAATTTAAGCATTTTTTTAATGTAAGCATTAAAGAAAGGTAAATGCCAGGATTATTGAACATTTGGTTTTGATAAATGAAAATGTGGAAAATAGGACCAAGTAGGTATAGCTCTCCAACCTTGGCAGGTTTTCAGTGCATATATTTGGGCTCCAAGATATTTTCAGTCTGCAACAAACCAAAATGCTGTACCCCAGAGAAGGAACACTGGGCATTCAGCCCCAAGAAAGGACAAAGCATGAAGTCTGTCTGCTGGAAGAAGAAACATGGCAGAAAAGAATGAAGTGGCCAGATCTGATTATTTTTTTGTAAGTTCAGGCCAGAAAGAGAGGAGTCAGGAGTGTCCTTTGCTAGGTTTTGAATGACTTACTCAGTAAGCCAGTGACACAAAATGTTTGCAAATGTTGAAAATTTTGATTATTGAATGTGTTTTTGCTATCTGTATATGTTGCTGCAGTTACCAAGAACACTTGTTTGATGGTTTGGGAGAAGAGATTAGTCCCAACAGAAAAAAAAATGTGAAAGATTAAGGAGAGATTTCTTTTAAAAAGATTTATTTATTTATTTCAAAGGTAGAGTGATAGAAAGGAAGAAAGGGAGAAAGAGACACAGAAAGATTTTTGCATCCACTGGTTCACTCCCAAATGGCTGCAATAGCTGGGGCTGGGTCATTCTTGGAGCCAGAGCCAGGAACTCCATCCTCATCTCCCACATGGGTGGCAGAGACTCAAGTACTTGTAGGAAGTATAGCAGCCAAGACTCACACCAGAACTCCGATGTGCTCTGCAAGTGTGCAAAGCAGGGTTTAATGCAGTGGCACAAAGCATGCCCATTCTTTCTGTTTTTAATTTTAATTTATTTTCATTGTATTAGAGAGAGAGAATCTCATTACCCAAACATCTGTAACATTCTGGCCTGGGCCAGACCAAACCAGGAGCCGGAACTCCATCCAAGCCTCCACATGGGAGGCAGGGACTCAATACTTGACCCATCTTCCGCTGCCTTACAGGGTACACATTAGCAAGAAGCTGAATTAGAAGCCAAGATGCCGGATTTAAACCAGACACTCACATATGGGATGTAGTGTTCCAAGAAGCAAACTTTGATGCCCAGGCCCCCCGAAAGAAGACGTTTCTAATAGTGGACTTCAGAAGAGTGTTAATTGCTTTTCTTATCCTTGAGTAGAAGAAGATGTTCAGACTTATGGCTGCATACCTTTAATTTGATAAACTGATCTGTTTTGTCTTGAGTGTTCTTGTTTTTCCTTCTCTAGGATCAAGGAGGTTTGGGCATTGCTATCAGTGAAGAAGATACAATCAGTGGAGTCATCATAAAGAGTTTAACAGAGCATGGAGTGGAGCCAAGGTGAGACTTTACCCCTCTCACTATTATGAAGTGGTGTAGAGGAATCACTTCTGGAAAGTCACCAAATCTACCACATTTCCATTTAGGATGGACGACTCAAAGTTGGAGATCAGATCTTGGCTGTAGATGATAAGTTGTTTTGGCTGTCCAGTTGAAAAGGTACTTTTCCAAAAACAGTAAATGGTACTGTAAGCCATCCTTGGATGGCTCTTTGGCTATGTTAGGAGCTGGGGATTACAAGGAATTTGGGCTAACTAGCTATTGACTTAGACATGTTTAAGGAACGCGAAGCAGTTATGAAGAAGTTCTTTTTTATGTTTTTTCCATCAAGATGATGTCGTATGTTTTGTTTCCTAGAAACTATTCAGTATTCACCAGGCATTTTTATAAATGTCATTTCCATTTTCTGTAGGAAAAAACTGAA